AGCAAAATTGACATTTTCTTCAGTAATTTACATGAAATGTTGCGTCTTTTGTATCTAAAAAATAGACCTAACATTATAATAAGTGGCGATTTTAATATTGACCTACTAAAAGAGACTAGGCACTCCGTGACATTTAAACGGTTAGCAAAAGAATACAACATGAAATTTGCAGTAAACGCACCAACCCGCCCCAGTAGTGGCAGCTGTTTAGATAACATTGTTTACAACATGAGAGGCTGTAAAAGCGAGATTCTAGAACTAGGGGTATCCGATCACACTGCACAATTAATTAAATTTCCAATACAACAAACTTGTATTTTGAAGTTTTGGTACACACACAAACGCGATTACTGCAAGGAAAATAAGAATATATTTAGGAGATGTCTTAAAAATCTAAGTTTTTCTGAGGTCTATGAATGTAATACGGCTAATGAACGTTTTGATGCTTTTTTCGATTTATTTAAATTTTTTTACGACCTATGCTTCCCCATAGTAAAGCGCAAAATATCCACACTTGTTAGGCCGAGGTGGATAACCCGAGGTATTATATTGTGTAGTAAAAGAAGGCGAGACTTGCTTTGGAAACATAGACTAGCGAAAACTAGCGACACGAAACTAGCTTTTAAAACATACAATAAAAGATATAAAACTATATTAAAGCTGACTCAGAAGGCAAGAAATAGTTATTTCATTGCTAATAGTAAAAATAAATCCAAAGCTACGTGGAAAATAATAAATTCAATCAAAACAAATGTACCTAGGGATAGTATCAAGAAATTATTAATTAATGGTAAAGTGGTTACTCATCCAAAATTGATTGCAGAAAAATTTAATAATTATTATATAGACCAGGTAGATACCAATATAAATCTAAAGACATGTAATTATAAAAATATTTCCAATTTTAAATCATTTAAATCTATGTTTATGAAACCGATTGTACCTAATGACGTTAATACTATAATAAAGAATTTAAAAAACACCGGCAGTACAGGCTATGATGAAATCCACACAAGCGTAGTAAAATCTGTAGGTACTATTATAGCACCTGTATTAACTGACATCCTAAATGATTGTATTCAAAGCGGAACTTTTCCGGACAAGCTAAAGACATCAATAGTAAAACCTCTGTTTAAAAAGGGCTCAAGAACTGAAATGGGTAATTACCGACCTGTAGCACTGTTACCAGTATTTTCTAAAATTTTTGAGAAAATCATTTACAGCAACTTGAATAACTATCTGGAAAATAATAACATTATATGTAAGGAACAGATGGGCTTTAGAAAAAATAAAACAATTAATATGGCTATATATGGATTTCTAAAGAACATATATATTAATTTAGATAACCGTAAACCAGTAATGTCATTGTATATGGATATGACAAAAGCGTTTGATCACGTGGATCATAACATATTAATTAAAAAAATGTATAATTACGGGATTAGAGGCAATGTCCTTGTCTTGATACAATCATTTTTAGAAGATAGAAATCAAATAACACAGATAAATTCAGTCAATTTCAAATCTAAAACTGAGGTAACTTATTCATCAAATGCTAGAAAAATTAAATACGGCGTGCCACAGGGAAGTGTTTTGGGCCCATTACTTTTTCTCTGTTACATAAATGATTTTCCTAACACTACGAAACATCAAATGTCTTTATTTGCCGATGATAGTACAGTTATTTTTAATAAGGGTACATTGAATGAAATAGAATACGATATAAAGACTAGTATTGTAGACATTATAAATTTCTTAAATGCTAATAACCTAAAAATCAATCTGTCGAAAACAAAATTTATGAATTTTCAAATAAGACGAAAATGGACATCAGAAGTACACATCTCATATAAAGATGAAATCGTAGAAGAAAGTACAGTAACAAAATTTTTAGGGCTTCAAATTGATAATGACATGTCATGGAAAACTCAAATTAATTGTGTGTGTAATAAATTAAATACATTTTCCTATGCTTTATATATGCTATCAAAAGTAGCTAATGAAAATGCACTTCTTGCCGCTTATCACGGCTATGTGTCATCGACCTTAAGGTTCGGCATAATATTCTGGGGTAATGCCACAAATAAGCAAGACGTGTTTATAGCTCAAAAGAAATGTCTCCGAGCTATGTGTAAACTAAAAAGCACTGATACATGTAAGCCACACTTTTGTAAACTAAGACTATTGACATTTCCATCTATGTACATTTATGAAGTCTGCATGTTCGTGAGAAATAACATTTCTCTATTTTCTTTTATAGAAAGTCAACGTCGCTCCGACAAATTGCACTTACTAAAAGCCAAAACAGCACTTCTACATAAAAGTGTATACGCAATGGCACCAAAGCTGTACAATCATTTACCAAAACAAATAAGAGACCGTAAAAATGTTAATGAATTTAAAAGCAATCTCTTAAAATTACTTATTGACAAAGCATACTACTCCATAATAGATTTTCTGAATGATAAATTTTGACTTCAATTAGTTATGTATATGATTAGGTATTTGTAAATGACATTTATTTTGACGTTGTAATTATTAATTATTTTAAAAAAAAATTAATTTATTTTGACATTTTATTTAGTATTTTGAACTTTTAATTATTTTGACATTTTCGATTATTCATTATTTTGACATATTTAGTTCGACTTTTTTGATTGTTAATTATTTGACATATTGAGTTTGTCATTTTTAATTATTTTAACATTTTTCCCGATTTAATCATCATTTATCAATATCAGTATGCTTTTAATTAAGAAATCAAATCAAAGTCTATTTTTATTGAATTGAATAAGTATATGATTACTGGACTTTAAACAGTTGTATTGCACAGGAATAATGAAATCCTTTTATTGTTTTGTATGCCTATTGGCGAAACATGGCGATCTTTTAAATATGGTTTGTAACATCTGAATTTACCTGTGTTTTACGAAATAAATGATTGATTGATTGATTGATTGATTGATAACGAACTGAAATTTAATTTAGTCATGTAAATTTATCTTTTCAGATTATATATTAGTTAGTTTTCTATGACTAGCCTTGAGAAGATACTCTAAAATATGACGGCGAGGTAAAATGTGCAACTGTTACACTGTGTTACATGTGTACAAAGAGTTGGTAAAGATTATTAATTGAGAGGATAGTTAATGGCCAGATAAAACCAGATAATTGATAATATGGATTACTTATGTGACGTTACGATAGGTGAGATCGTGCTTGCCATATTGATGGCCCACCTATGTTGATCTGTATTTGATTTTGACATGGCTAAAAATTATTTTAACATTGAAAGGCATGTCTTACTAATTACACAATCATAGTCATATTCTATGTCATAGTTCATATTCTATGTACGGGTTATTTCAATGCCTTCGTTCAGTTAAAAGAAGCTCCGCCCTGCCTTTGCTTGAATAGCTGACAATCCTTATGTCTTTAAGCAAACTTTACAAATATGCTGAGATTCTGTGGACTGGAATGGAATTCCGATGTAACGTGAGTTATAAAATGTAGAATGTTTTGGATATCGAGTAGTTCCAGAGATCGGGGTTAAACCAAAAAAAAAGTTATTTTCAAGGGTATTAATGTAGAAGTACAAACTATCTTTCAACTTTACCTTTCAAGGGTATTAATATAGAAGTACAAAAATATTGTTGAATAAAAAAAATGTACCATGTATTTTTTTTTTATTGAACACTATCTTTTAATAATGCTTACCATCGAGAATGTCTAATATACACCTCAATATCTAGTGTCATATTGTTTGCGGTTGCACTTCTACGAAAAGGCTCGACTGATTTTAATTAATTTTTCTTTGTATATTTAGTAGGTATGAGAACAGTCGTAAAGTGTTTTGCATCCTCCCAACTCTACTCCTCATTTTTTAAATATTACAGCACAACATTTGTTTTTAATTAATAAATAAACAAAAGTAAAGCAAAAATACATTAAAAAAACCCGGCGATTATTTTATTAACTTTGCGTTATTCTCAATAAAGTTGCAGAAATATCATTCTAACATTTTTAGTTTTGTTGCCACGAGTACCTGTAACACGCAACATGGCACAAAGTTGCTGTGTCTTAGTACTAATCCAAGTTCATACGCTTAGTTCGTGCCTCGAACGTTGTTAAAATAGGAAACCCAAAGTTGTGAGTTCGCATTTAGTTGTGAGTTTGGTTTTCTAGCTATCAGTCAAAACTTTTGCTATCTCCGCAAACTACTCGTACCCGAACTCAAAGTATGATATTTTCAGAAAGTACGTCTGTGTTAGTTCTCGAAAATTGGTGATCGATTGCAGTCGATCATGAATAATTACTCGTCGGTTAACTGTGAGTTTTGTAGTTGCTAACTAGCTGATACTTGAACTTTTAGTTGGAACAATAACAATGAGTTACGTAGAAATTATAGCAATTGTATTCATAGTACAAAAATCAATATGTAATACAGAAATCTTCATCGTATACTTATTTATTTTAGTTTTAGATATTATCTAACACAACATGTCTAATAATATTATTAGACATGTTGCCAACGTTTCAGTTATTAATATTGTTGACTTTAAAATGTACTTTCAATACTGTTTATGTTAAGAAATTGTATAGTGAATCACGTACAGTTCATAGCTAAACTAAAATTTGTTCTTAGAATTAAAAACATACTTTGTTCCTTCTTTAAGTATTGGAAGTGAGTGTTAAATGTCGTTCGCTGAAAATTGATAATACGAGAAATTCCACGGTCCTAAACTTTGATTAAGGCCCAGATTGTACTCAACTAAAACTCAACAATGGTTTCTCTATCCAATAAGCACTGAGAACATACAAGAACAACTATAGAACTTTACGAGTGTAACTAAATCAAAATAAAATCACACGCGCCCGTCGCCAAATTAGTAGGTATTCGGATAATAAACTTGGGTCTAACGCAATAAGTGACGGGTTGACCCTCGTAACGGGACGTTATGTTACCTTCGACCCGTGAACTCATAACTGTGTTACAGGGCTATGTGGGGTCTAGAGGACCACATGGCGCTAAAGGCGAGCGTGGCCAACCGGGCCGAGACGGCACGCCCGGGCTTCCAGGCGCGCACGGTCGCCCCTCCGAAAAAGGGGAAAAAGGTACACCTACTTACTCAACCATCAAATTTTATGTTACTATATGACCCATATTTATACTTGGGTAAAGCGTTCGCGAGATTTTTAGGGGTTTATAGTAACGATTTGGAAAATCTTTATTTGTTCGCGCACTGAACCCTTTGGATTGGTTTTCGAGTGCTTGCACGCAGTTTATTTATTATTGCTGTTACTTTTTACGATCGTCTAGAGAGTTTTGTTTTATTTCTGTATCGGATGGTTTGTTGTTATATGTTTTTTTTTGGGTTGTTCGTAAAAGTTTAAATTATTGAAATATATGCTTTCGAACTCGTAAATATTTGATGAATGTTTACTTAACGTTGTGGATAAAAAACCCAAACATAAATTAAAAGCAATAGAATATGAAATTATAGTAAACACATTTATAAGTGAAAATACTTAATAGTAAGTTCAAAATCGATCTATTCTTTTTGTTTGCTTGTGTCAGTGCTCCACTTATATTATTCATTAATAGGTGCTCGAGGTCTTCCTGGACCCCCGGGACTATCTGTACCAGTCGCATCAGAAAATTCAGTGCCAAGTGACGTCACACACGGGGGTAAGCTTATTCCAATACTGCTGTACTTGTAAAAAGAATATATAATACCTTTATAAATGTAGATGTAGATCTATATACATAAATGTAATATATATATATTGCTGTAAAAATTAATGTAGTTTGTTAGAATACCTACTTACTATTTAAAAAAACACGAGGATAGAACAATATATATATGTTGAGTCCAGGATCCTTTCGTAAAGGTGTTGCTCTTCAATGACATACGTTTATTATTGATTTTCAATACGTTTAATAACGAAATGAATTTAACATTGTATTTCTTATGAATATGATTAACAAGCGAGTAACAAGATGAGATTGAGTGAAGTTCGTCGCGTCGCGTCGCGTTGTCGTTTTTTAATTAACGCCGATAGATGGCGTTAACAATATATATAAATATGTATTATTGCTATATACACGTATATCCATAAATGTAATATTATCCAAATTATATTTTATGAATACTCACATTGCGCATTTTTATTTGTTAACTCGATGACAACGTATTGAAGATCGAGAGAGACCAGACTTGTTTCTCTACAATTAATAGTATTCAAAAAACTGGCAACCAAGCTGTCGTTCGTCTCCCAAGTTTACCTTGGGCTTGTTAAGCCTAGTAAGCAGAGAAAGACACGACTTAATTATAAAATTAATTAAATTGTCAATTCATAAAAAAAAACAATTATAATTGATATCTATCACAACCATCATGTTGAATGAATGATAATTTTGCATTATTCTTAAATTAATTTGTATTAATTTCTCTTTACAAAATAATCTTTCATTTATCTGTGATATTTATATACATATATGTAGAAATATAAAATTGTTTGTTTGTTTGAGATTAGACGGCTATGTGTGGGATGTGTGAAGATATTTTTTTTTATAAGTAAATACGTGCGGCACGCATTTACCCGACTTCTCATTTAATTATGTACCTACTGCTTTTATTATCAAATTTAACTATTAAATGTGATGATTATACACAATTAAACCTTAAAGAAAAAGTAAAAACTAAAATGTTTCTAAATGATTCGATTTGTGATTAAGACCCATCTTTAATTTAAACGAAATGAAATAGGCACCTATTTACTGTTATTTCATTCCTTAACTTTCTAACATTCGTGATTGTTCCTTTATCGTTTTTTTTATAAAATTTCACTATTAACAAGATTATCCTTCTAGGAGCTGAAGAAAATGGCCTGAAGCAAAATGGTAATAACTTCAATAAAATTTAAATACTTTCAAAGGCGTTTAGTACTAATATATAATCAAGTAGATCAATGCAAGTAGAATTATTAATAATGAGAAGGTTTAAGTGAATATAGAAACTAAAACATAAAACACTAAACCATGAAAAATAATAATTATAGAATAGTTGTGGACACAAAAAGTGATTAAATTAATTTAAGACTCCTATTATTGTTAATTTAATTGAAAATACTAAAGAGTCGTCATCGTGTTTAGACGAATAAAAGCAGAGATTGGTTAACAACTCATATGTAATAAATAAAATAATAAAATAGAGGGCTTGAACTTCAAGCAACAGTGAATTCGAGCTACTGGAATACAACTGTCTTGCTCGAGTTATACCTTATAGCCTCCAATACATTGTAACAATATATTAACGAACTTAAAACTAGAACATATCGAGAACTGTTAGAAAATGCAAAAGGAAATAACAAAAAGCTTTGGACAGAAATAAAGAACATCTGAAAAATAAAACACAAAACCAGTGAAACCTCTGCACTTATAACCAATAGCGATAATCCTACACACAATGTTAATGACTACTTCACAACTGTTGGTGAAAATCTAGCGGACTACATACTTACACAATTAGGACTAACTGAAACTAAGGTAGCCAGAAACGTTGGACTACTCAGTGCCTCTAGTAAATGCTCGAGCTCCTATTTATCCCAACAGACGAAGTCGAAATACACGAAATCATTACAAACTTAAAATCAGCTTATTCCTCTGGCAACGGTAACATAAGTAATAGAATATTAAAAAAACTGTGCTCAGGTTTTAGTTCAACTAATTTTTATGTAACTCAAGCCTATCAACAAGTACTGTACTTACCTGCCTCAAAACTGCAAACGTATATCATATTTATAAAAGTGGTGATCAAAAGGCTCCATCTAACTATCGTCCAATCTCTATGCTGACAACTCTCTTCAAAATACTGGTGAGAGTTGTGAATAAGAGGCTTTTGGCATATCTAGAAAAGAACAAACTCCTATCTGACAACCAGTTTGGCTTTCGAGGCTCACAGGTCAACGGAGGCTGAATTAACAAATCTTGTCGACTTCGTATCAGAGAAACTAGACCGAGGAATGGTGTGTACTGCCATCTTTCTGGACCTGATCAAAGCATTCTGCATACTGTCTCTTGGAAGACAGAAACTAGAGATTTTTGGAATTCGTAGAGACGCTTTAGGATGGTTCAAATCTTATTTAAGAGACAGGAGACAAAAATTATACGTAGGAGACTACTGCAGTGAACTAAAACCCATTAATTTTGGAGTCCCACGGGGCAGTGTCCTTGGTGTCTGTTTATTGTATACAAAGATAGCCCATCTGCTCTGGATCTAGGCCAAGCAAAATAGTTACCTATACACACTGCGGCAGTTTTCTTGAATACCCAGGTCAACATATAACTGGGTATGCAAACCGTTGCCAACTGGCTCCAACTGAATCTCCTGACTCTTGCTATAGGAAAAATCAAAGCTGTAAATTTCTATGTTTCAATGCGATATTCTCCCAAACTAGCGAGGAACCTAAGACTGCACTCATGCTTAGCGTCAAAAAACAGTCAGTGCCCTCTAATAGAACAAATTAACGACATTAAATATCTCGGGGTCTACTTAGATAGCCAGCTTGCATGGTCTACTCATCTTAATGCACTCCACATCAGAAGTAAAATGCTTATGCCAGTCTTTAAGTGTCTAGGTAAAATCGCAAATGAGAAGCGAAGAAGAGAACCCTTAAAATGGTTTATTTCTCTCTCTCTGCCAATCGATTCTAAGCTATTGCATTACTACATAGGAAGCTGCCGGTGAAACACATATGATGAAAGTAGAAATAGCACAACGTGCACTCCTTGAAACTGCATATAGCCCACCGTACAGACTAACTCACTTCCATCACAGCTCCCTCACTCTGCATTTCCATAAAACTGCTCTGAGCAATGCAACACTTAGTCATTTAGGACCTAGGTTCGTATAAAAAACTGTAAGGTATCGCAGATCGATTGTAAAGAGAGTGTACAATTTCATAGAGCCCTACATAAACAGGAAAATTAACGAAAACACTGCAAATGGCTAGTCGAGCTTGATTACGATAGCACCGAGGACATCCTGAAAAGCAAACAATAACATGCACAAAAAGTAAACCACAGCTTACACACACACAGACACGTACACACACACATAATTATCATACATATAACGCAAGCATACACATACTCAGTACATGTGTTACACTTCCTTATTAGCATATTTTTTTTTTTACTTTTTACTTAATTGTTATTTTTTCTTTTTATATATTTTTATTAATGTCTCGTAAAGCAAGTGGACTGAAGGAGGCTAGATCCCATGACACAGGGAATCCTAGTATGGGATCTAGAGATCAAACCCTGTTTCTGATTTATTTCTCAAACAACAGGATAAAATTAATAAAACACAAAATCCAAAATATTTAATAGACTTACTATGACTTAATAGACTAATAATGTGTTGTGGTTTATACGATATTGAGTATTAGATACTCTATAAGCTTTAAATTGTATATCAAGATGATATACTCATGTCGTCTACCAGTATTAAGCTCATTTGATTTAATAATTAACGGCAAATACAATATCAATATGTAGTATAATATACGTTAGCTATCAATCAATTGATAGGATCTGTTTAGCTAGTTATTCAATTATCTACAGCTCAACAGCACATTATTTGATTTATGGAATGTTCAAAGCATTCAATTACAGCAATAACAGTGAACTTTTTTGTAGTTTCATCCTTTAACGTTTATGTTTTTAATGTCTTTTATTGTAATTTGTTATCTTATATGCAAATATAGACCTACCATTTGTAACAATTAATCATAAACTGTTCAATACAAAATGCTTTCTGTGATTTTATTTATTATTTTAACACCGTTTAACTGCTTCGCCCTATTATATAATTTACTTGGATTTACTTTGGATGAAAAGTTAAGAAGTAATAGGTTGTCTTGGTATGGACCTGTCAAGCGAATGGATGAGGAAAATGTGACCAAGAAAGTGTTATGTATGGGAGTTGAAAGGTACAAGAGAAGAGGAAGGACAAATAAAAGGTGGATGGATTGTTTGAGTAAGGATATGGATAAGAAGGGAGTAAACAGTGAGATGACGAAAGATAGAGTAGAATGGAAGAATTACTTACTGCGCCGACACCAAATAAGATTGAGAAAAGGGTAGACAGAATATGATGATGACTATCTTGTCTTTATTTTCTACAAGTGAGTGATGTGAGACCTTAGGTTGATACTTCAGTATCTCACTAGTGGGATAAAAGAGCATAGAATATTATTAGAGGTTGGATCTACACGTTGTGCTTTCGTCCACTTTAGGTTTTACTTTTGTATGTCTACTTTGTACCTCTCTTTTACCCTTTAATTTTACCTAACTAAAGTAGTGGTCATCCCTCTTTTAATTAGATTGGAATTGCAGTTTATGATTGCAAACACTCAGTCAATGTACCACTCTTGACAAATATTTTTATTGGTTTGGAGACTTTCCAACTAAATCTAGTACTACGGAGGAATGTAGTATATCTACTGTGTACCTTCTTTTGAAGTCGATCTCTGTGTGCGTATCATCCGCTAGAATGTTGAGAGAAAACTGGCCACTTTGGTTTCGTTTGTTTACATATTCTGTTTTTGGTAGCTCCTTTGTACTCATGGTTGCTGTTTAAATCAGACTAGTGCGTTTATATAGTTGGGTGCAGGATTTAACGGTACTTAAGTCGAAGAAAATGATAATGGAATCTATACAAGTTATTCAAGAAAAACAGAGTTGTATAGTATTGACCCCGTAAATAACATTAAGTGCTTTTTATTGTTTTTGGTTAAATTCATGATTTTTTAATACAGGTATATTATTTTGAAAGCTGTGTGAATATCGCTAACTATAGTGACATTCACACAGTTCACGGTACAATCTTTGGTGTTAAAAACCAACTTAACACCAATGATTGTAATGGAGTTCAGAATTTTCTGAAACAACCTACATAAAGAAAAACAATGTATCTACAAATTTATAATACACATAGTATTTAGAAATGTACCTTACATTCTAAAAGCAGGTTAGTGAAAAATTTTAAATGAAATTTTTCGACTTACCTTATCTTAATGCATTTAGTAATTATAGCTTATCAACTTATTTCATCAACAAGAACTTTCAAGAAAGTCTAATTTCACTTTACAATATATGATAATTGACGTACGAAGATAAATGTGGGTAGCACGTACTTAATCTACAAGCAAAGCTATTAGGACGGTTAGTCATTAATCATGTTTATACTATAGTCTATCTGTTCATATTGAATGTCTCCTTACTGGCCCCACCCAAGTAATCAGTATTACTCCTGCAATTTAAGATACTAACTCATGCAGATTAAATTTTGAACAGCATAAAATCTATAAATCAAACTCAACATCTTACGGTACCTTCTGTATTAAGTACTAAATGAAGATACTATTAAATAAGACCTAACGAAGACCTAACTTTGTCATTGAAAATAAGTTTCATTTTTTAAGTAGATTAGGTATAAGAGACTTGTGATCTAATTGGAATCCAAAAACTTTAAAACCTTCCAATTAATGGTATAATGCTTCTTTTTGTTACTGAGTAAGCTTTTTCTGACATGCCAGTACCCAATACCCTAGATACTGGCATGTCAGCTTCACTAGTGATTTGCAAAGCACATTTGATGCCACTATTATCGCGAGCAGGCTAAATACTCGTTGCAAATTTGAATGCAAATTAATGTATATTGTAATAAATGTATATTGGAGTTCTTTGGCAATTCTTTCAATATTCCATTGTCTTGGGTCTGAAGACAATCTCTTTTGAAGTAACCATTACTTTGCCAAGGTCACGTAACAGTTAAACAAGAAAATATATATTGGTATTTTTGTACAACTTTCTATGTTGTTCATCATAATATTTGTCGTTTATTTAAATACGTAATAGATAGGTATAATCAACCCTCACAGCCCCATCAGAGCCCCTTGGTGGAATATGATTAAGGAATATAAGTCAGGACCTCGTCATCGCATAAAAGCATATCAAAGAGGAAATCCACAATATATCGAAAAAAAAAAAAAAAACTAGCTTTTGCCCGCGGTTCCGCTCCCGTGTATAACGGGTGATTGCAGTAAAAAGTAGCCTGATAATGTAATTTTCCATCGGTAAAAGATTCTTTTAAAATATTTTAGTGATTTAGGCTTAAAAGCGTAACAAACAAACATACAAACAAATTCACTTTCACGTTTATAATGTGAGTGTGGAAGTGTATATGCCAACATGAACTATTCACTACTCTAAAGTCAAACAACTGTAAAATATAAAGTATACCTTCGCACAAGGTACTCTTCTCGATTTTTGCTTGTAATTGTGCCTGTTAACTTGTGTTTGATGTTCAAAACAATGATTTTAAACATGTTATTATGTTTTCTCGAAAATAAGCTGTCGTTGACACATGACCTTAAACGTCACATTCTCATAATTACAAAACAAATAATAATTCACTCGCAGCTGAACTTCTCACGAAAAATAATTACTCTTGAAAACTCGACTAAGTAGACAAACGTTCAAACATTATTTCCAAGTCACTAATTAAGTTTTTGCTAATGGAGCGTTTGGATGGGCGAGTCGTAAGAATTAGGATAGAATACCTTCTTATATCCAGTCTTTGAAAATAAAATTAGATACACCCACACATATATTACGCTTCGTTAATTATTTAATATTATCATGGTTGAAATAGCAGTCAAGTTTTGAGTCACAGATGAATAAGAAATAACAAAGTATTACCAAATATTAATTTAGACACGATAAGACATTTCAAATGATTTTGAAATTACAAATGAAATCTTACTTCAATCAGCTCGTAATACCAATGGTTTAAGGAAATATAGAAATAACTGTAACTGAAAGCAGAAACCTTAATAAATAATCAATTTACGAATTACCATCATCCATTCCTATATTGTGTATAGTACGGTTGGATTGCAAACACTCTGTATTTTCAGAAGCAGCTCTTCTTAAAGGGATCAAGGGAGATCGAGGAGAAAAGGGAGACAAGGTAAATAAATTTAGGTAATAATATCAATAATGCCAAGCAACGGCGATAATATTCCTTTAACTTCACCTGTTTTCGGTTTAAGGATTTTCTTATCATTAGTTCGACGCACTAGTTAGAATTAAAAATGTCTTACTAGTTCTACTTCATTTAATTCGGAATGAAACATAAAACAAAATACGCAACAAGCTCAGGAGATAAGATAGAGATAAGCAAGACAGAAAAATATCTTCAATTGTGTATTTGGTCAAGGACGTGATTTGATTTTCAATGAATAAACATTTTTTAAATTTATGTTTCATTCTGAAATAAATGCAATAGCACTACTGAGACAAAAAAATATCGCACTAGTTCGACAATCGAACTGATGGATCGAACGAATAAGAACAAATATAGATAAGCAGCTCTCATTCTGTAAGTAAGACATGCAGTTATACTTAACTAAACTGAGCTTTAAACGACAGTCAAAAAGATTTTTTATAACAAATAGTTATGGTGAAGGCATACGGTACATCAGTTTGTATAAATATATGTGGTAATTGTTTGTCAGGGCGAGAAAGGAACCAGAGGTATGGAGGGCCCCCAAGGTTTTCCTGGTAACGATGGGAAGCCTGGAGAACGTGGAGATATAGGACCGTCTGGTCTACCTGGAAGTCAAGGCCCATCAGGACTGAATGGGCCCAAAGGTGACAAGGGTGAAGCCGGCCCTCCAGGACCAGTTGCGATATCTAGAGATGAGGCCTTAATACTGACGAAAGTAAGTGACAATGTTTAATACATATATTTATAACTCAACTTTAGTCTTCCTTGCAACATGCACTGCGTCACAACAAACTTTCTTCTAAATGTGATCAGTAAAAACATGATAGGAACTTAAGTATAGTTGCAAGTATTTAAGGTTTTTTTGTAATGCTTGTGATTCAATCTTATTTAATTATATGGTATGATCATTTTTGTAATTATTGATGTTATTTATTTTATTTTGATTTTTGTATTTTTTATCAGAGAAAAAATTTAAAAAGTAATTTGATTATTAAATTAGAGAAAAGAAAGTGTAATGACAATAAATTTATTACAATGCGCTTTAATTATATGGGAGCTACGTCTGCCAACAAACTGCTGTGTATAATTATTATTATTATTAAATTCCTACCGTTAACTTCTCGTCATAGCTACATTTCCTCTTAATTTTTTTTCCCCCACAATTTTACTACCTAATTCTTAAAGTGCTCACTTGATGGTAATAGGCTTGCACCGATTACTTAAATATATTAAACTTATAATCGACAAAATGGGAGCGCTTAATAAGCCTCTGCCTATCCTTTCCGAACATTGTAAATAATAAATATAATAATAATATAAAAAATATATCAGTTCCATTGTTTATTTCAATTTTTAATATTATAAAGCGTTTTATCTATCGTCGCAACTACGTTAATTACGGAGTTAAAGCGATGTCTGCCAATCTACTGCAAACAAATACATATATGTATATCAATGATTAATTATAATTTTATTTTAAAATCAGGGTGACAAAGGCGAGTCTGGCCCAAGAGGTAAACGTGGGCACCCTGGACCCCCAGGACCCCGTGGACCTCCGGGATTGCCAGGTCCGCCAGGTACACCAGGCAATAATGGAATATCGGGCGATATTGGGCTACCTGGATGGACGGTAAGTTTTATCACACTTAATTCTACAAAAACCATGTTTAGAAACGAAGTTCGAATAGAATTATAATAAAAAGATAAGACAATATTATGTATACGTAAATGTGAGTTTTTACAAGTTTCATATGCTCGTATGTAATAAAGGAATTGTATTAACAGGGTCCACCGGGTGCCGCCGGTCAAACAGGTCCGCCAGGGCCGAAAGGGGAAAAAGGAGACCCTGGAATTAGCGCACTTGACTTGGAAAAGGTAAATCATATGCTTCGTTAAATGGGTGCTTGAATATCTATATTTATTTATATGAGAATATTTTGCTTTAAAAGTCGAATAAGTCATTGAGTGAGTGAAGTGTTTCTATAAAATTTATCGTAGAAGTACTCGCCGTTTCACGTAACCCAAATTTAATGACTCATTAGTGTAGATATTACCATAAAGGGATTCTAAATATATTTAATTAAGTATATTGTACAGAAAATATCAATAACGCATAAGATGATAACGTAATTGAATATAAAAACATACCTAAATTTGTATTCATGTTCTATATTAATATTGTAGTAAAAGTCAAGATAAAACAAAGGAATTACCCTTTGTGTGTCTAGCACGCATAAAATATGACTAAAAGAAATAAATTGGGAAATTTTCGAGAGAAAATTACCTTTCTTTATACCAAAGTTCTTGAATATAATATTGAAAGCACTCGAGAGACTAATGAATCTCCTATAACGCGGTTTTATCCCGTACTTATATCAGACACCCAAACGGAATGGTTGCGGGTTGCTCGTTAACTCTTTGTTTCCCTAGTTTATTTGATGCGAACCAATTCAAGTGAGCATTTTTAGTATTTTATAAATACCACTGAAATTTCCAAAGTTACAGAAAAGATTCAGCGTCTCTTGAATCAAGTTTTAGGTACTAGTAGTCGTTCGAGAAGATATTTTTCTGAAAGGTCTAATTTATTTATTTTACAAGGTAAAAGGTGAAAAAGGTGACCGAGGTTTCGATGGCTTGCCTGGTCCACCAGGAAAAGAAGGGCCCAGAGGCCCTGCAGGCCCACCAGGTTCACCGGCAACAAATATCCAATATATCTCAGTACCTGGCCCCCCTGGGCCTCCTGGACCTCCGGGCCCACCTAGTATTTATCCAAACGAAGTACCTGATGCTTTGACTGATACTCCAGGAATTAATCGTCTGGAGCCGGGCACTGGTGAGTAATAAAATAGTACATTGCGATATTATGCTATTAAATAGAACCCAGGCTATAAAATTAAATTACTAAACAATATCGCATGACATTGTTTATAATTCAAAAATGATAAGTTATTTGTTCAAACAACAAAATTCACATTAAATAGTACATGCAAATTACATTAAACAGCACTAGTTCAATCACATCATTACACATCAACAGTCTTTAATAGACACACCACACACCACTGCTGGACATAGGCCTCTTCTTAGAAAGGAGGTTTTGGCCTACTATAAAACGTTGGGCAGACGTGTTGGTATAGGGTTTGTGTCAAGTTTTCCCTCTCTTTGCAGTGCTGCTATCCTGCGTAGTTTGCTCCCTTAGTCGGCTCTAACAACACCCACGGGACGAATAGGGATTGTCATACTCCGTATTCTTAAATCGTCTCCACACGGATGTGTTCAATACACATGTTAAAACATAATGTTACATCAGCCGTTCATTCATAAATTTGCGATATGATGTGACACGTGATCTAATAATTTTAAATAAATTAACAGTGTGACAACAACGGTGAGGTAGAAACATGTCAAACGCATTGATGTATTGCACGAGTTATGCTGATTTTTTATATGTTGTATATTTTGTACCATATAAAAGCTTTGAATAAAATAAATTTATACTTCCTGTTACAGTCTGTAAATCTGCGTGCTACCATTTTACACCTAATTTACAGAGGATTGTGCTCCCGCTGTGTTGATATTATTTAATACATTAAAAGTTTACTGAATGAGATGAAATATTCGAAATGTGTGTTTACCTAATTCTGATTTTTATAATACAGCAAAACAACGGGATCCTCTACAAATTATAAGAAACTTGAACCACCTGGTGCAATATCGGCAAGAACCTTACGGTACGCAAAAGTTTTTCACACTGCACTTCACTTCACACTTCTCTGTAGAAAATACAATTGCTTTACTTATACCTTCGTAACTTAAGCACCTGAGAATTTTAAAATTTTCCATTTAAATATTGTTAAATAAAATTGTTTATTTCTAACATTAAGACAATAATTAGGTAAGGAAGGTAAAGATAATTTATTAAACAATATTTTTTCGTAGCTTACCGCGATCCATTGGATCCTCTGGGAGAAAGTGCTGATTTTGAAGACGATGACGACGGTAGAACAATTGTTGGGACCATTCTGTTCAAGACTACTGATTCTTTGATTCGAGTTAGTAATTTTTCAAGGTTTAATATAATCAAACATTTTCGTGAACAGACTGTTGTAACCATGTTTGTCCATCATTCAATTTAAAACTATTATTTTGTCGTTGACAAAATGACAAAATTGAAACAAAAAATTAAATACTAATTACCACTTGCTTATTGTATTTTTAGTTAAAATTAATTAAGACTTCATTAATATTTCAAATACTAACTTTATATTGTGTAAGAAATAATCAAGTATTTTTTGCAGCTTGGTACGAATAGTCCGCTTGGCACTTTGGCATACGTCATCCAAGAGCAAGCGTTGCTTGTACGGGTCAACAATGGTTGGCAGTATGTTGCTGTAAGTCCCACATTCTTTCTACTTTTATTTTCATTTTTATCTCTTCCTCCTTATTTTCACAGCCTCCGTCTAGCTCTTGATAATATATAATAATAGTTTAAATAATTGAGATAAAATATTCGTAATTCGAAAATGGAATACAAAATTATTATTTCGACACAAATACCCCAATTAAATACGTAACGTAACGTTAATACCCTGTTAAAACTGTTGAAATATTAATCGATTATCTCTGATTTCATTTTTAATCGACTACGGACTAATACACCTACAAGTAATTTAAACATGTTTAACGGAATTAACACTGTTTATGTTAGTCTTCCAAATCAATATTTGATTAATGTTTGGAACCTTCATTGTGAACTGGTTTGGGTGCTTCGCAACTTTGTATACTTAAACATTTAGTTTTCTGATTTAGAATTCTGAACTAACTAACAAACTTCAGCGTAGCATTATGAAGTGGCACTATAGATTTATTAAATCTCCTAACATGTTAAGAGCATTATTCAAATTGAATTATAATATATCAGCCTTTCTTCTTAGTCAACTTATTTACCTTATTATTACGTTAGGTATGTTATAGGCCAGCTTGATATTTCTACCCTAGTGCAGTCTCCAATCAACCCTGTTTTTTTTTTAACTTCTGCAGTCACAGTCCCGTTTTCTATCTGAGTCTTGTGCCCCCACTCTCTTGCCTTATCTTCTTCCAATACACCAATTGAAGTTAATCCTTTGTCACGTTTGAAAGGTACGTTTCCAAAAGAAGGTAGGCAAAAGCCAGGCGGCCAGTTGTAAAAGTAACCGTCTAAAACCCCGTGTAATGTTAGGCATTGCGCCGTCAGTGGAGAAATTGGTGTCGTCAGTGGTCATTAAAATGTCCATTATTATGACTGGCTCCTTCTATGAAAACTATAATATTTTTGCAAAAAATACTATAAATATTATATGTTCAAAAAATAAAAAGAGTTAGTGTATTTTTCGGATGTTTGAGTTTTTTAGTAGAACTCACGGTCACACGAAACAAGTAATTTGACTTAACCAACAAAATAACTAAAAATGGTTATTTCATTGCGTTGTATGCCGTAGAAGTGGGTGCGAGGGGTATACCAGCTAAATCCCTCTATAACCTGCTTAAAGACCTTTTATTGCCAAGAGCTTCAGTAAGCTCTTTTCTTGAACGAATATCTAAAGCGGCATTGTTGGGCTCGTATCAAACATGGTTAGGCAGAGGGGGACAACAACAAAGCAGACAGTGGAGGTGAGCGCTGACGCGTCGCAAAGAGTACTCCCTAAACTTAACTATACCTCGGTCGCAATTTCGAGGCGCTGTCGAAGTCGCATGTGTTGCCCCCATCAATCATGCGATGGACCCGGCACCAGCACGGTGAATCCATAGAGCGCTAAGAAATAGGTTTAACAGGAATTCAAAGAGTGACGTAATATTTATATGACCTGAAACTGTTAAAATGTACAAAATACGAGTAAATTTAAGTCATTACAATAGTTGATATAGTGGAGTAGAGAACGCGTTTAATGTATAGTTATGGTTAGATAAATTGAAATGACCGGCCATAATATTACGAGTATCACGTTTAATGGAATATGGAATTACAACTCAAAATGTTTCATGCGGTATTAAGATTAAAAAAGCAAATAGTTTCATTTTGTTTAATTTTGTTTTAATAGCACTGTTCATTAAGAGTATTAGTGTCGTTTAATAACATGAAGTAATTATCAAGTTCGCTTGGAATTAAAACTCATAATCTCATGCGCATTGTAACCTTCTAGAAAATGTAGAGCTATTTGATAAGTATTGGTATCATAGTTATGAACTACAATTACTGCAGACGGTCATTTTATAATGTAACTAGTAAGGTCACAATATACACAATAAATAATAAGTTATTGGCATTCATATTTCTTTTAGACAAGCCTCATCAAACATAATCCTTTTTTTTTTTCCGTGCGGAAATCCCCTCGGATACCACCTATCGGTGGCATGTCGGACTCGAACCGACTAAAACCGCACGCCGTCTCGGGTACTAATAGCCGGGGGACCAGGTATATCCTAGAAAGGAAGTCCATGGTGCAATCATCAAACATAACCCTAGGTTTTTTCTCAAGCTATATAATGCTATCTCATCATCACTAATTACTGCCATGCTGACGAGTGAGTAGCGTAAGCGTCTCTTTCTGGAGCGGCCACCCCGACAACAAAAAAAGATACGAATTCTAATTCGAGAATTGCTTATTTGAACGATCTTAAACTATGATAGTATTACTAATTAAACTTTTAGTTACTCAATATTTCACATTATTTCGTTAAATAAAGTACCCAAAAAAGCTTGTTGCTGCGTTACTCTTGATCCTTTTTTTAATTGAAACATTCCACATCGTGGATAAAAGAAAACTTTTATTTCGAAATAATGTTGTCAAGAGATTATTGATCTTTGATATTCATGAGCGATAAAAAAATAAAAAAAAATCTCAACGAAATATTGTTAACTCCGCTTTTATTCAGGTCACATTACTTCAACTAACTAATTTCAATTCGTAGTTTGGTTTGGTTTATGGTTTATGAAAAGACAACTCCTGCACTAGGCATAAATCCTGTGTCGCGGGGGACTTTACAAACATACACGAAACGGACACAAAGTACACCTAGACTCAGAACAACAATTTGTGGATCACAAAGTGTTGTCTCATGTGGGGTTTGAACCCACAACACTTCGGCGTTATAGGAAGCGGCGTGAAGACCGCTTAAACCACTACGCCATCCGTACAGTCAGTGAATATAAAAATCTAAATAAGTAAAAATTGCGGTCTTTAAATTTCAATCTTAATTTGGCAAAATCAAGGACAGATTCAATTAAAATCACAGATTGTAATACAGCTACTTCAAATTTATACAAAAGAAAAGTTTTCTGAGTACCTATCAACAAAACCCAACACAATGGTGCTTATAGTGTTTTTACTGAAATTACAAAAACACAAAAGACTGAAAGAGGCAGAAAAATGTTTTCATGTTATCCTTCATCGGCTATTTTTACTTTACAGGCTAGGTAATAAGAAAATTGATAAGAACTCTTATATTTTACAAGAAAAATATTATATAACTTAGTCTAGTGTTACAATTCCTAAAAAACGATTACTTATTTAATTATTTTATTAAAAACTTTCGAAATATAAAGCATTTTTTTTGTTTATAAAATATTAGTGGCTTTGCCATATGTAAAAGTAATAAAGCGTTCCACACTTTCCCACTGATGGGCCTGTTGATCTAGTGGTTAGTGAACCTGACTGCTGCTAAGACAAGTATTCTGTGAGGAGCACAAGCATGTGTTCTGTGTCTGGGTGTAATTTATCTATAATATGTATGTATTTAAAAATATTCCGTATTAGAGCGTTTATCAGCAGTCTGGTTACCTTAGTACAGGCTCTGCCTAGTTTGGGACCAGACAGCCGTGTGAGAGATGTGTAAAGTTTTTATTATTATTACATACCGTTAAAAACTTTTCTTTACTTTTTAGTTCGGTTTGTAAAAGAATATTTTATTAAAATATACTTTATTGAATATAATACCCTATATTTTATCTGCCAGCTTGCACCGCAGATTCTGATACGATCAGTGTTTAAAAAACCGCTCCACCATTGTAGACTGTAGCAGACCACAGTTAATGAAAATACAATCAAATGTTGTATTGCTGATGGCAGAAAATAAACATAAAACGCTATTAGTGTGAGTAACGCGTAACTAAGACAAACTATAAAATTCAGGCATATGGAGTATTACTTTACCGATTTGATGGCAGACACTAATGTTCGGAGTTTGAAAACCTGAATTTATAACACTTAAATTGTTAAACCTTAGTTGTTAAAAATGCAATAAAGGTGGGTATTATTTCAAGTATGTATGTACCACATACGAGTCGAACACGTGATTCGTGTCAGCCTTGTAGAAGTATATAATAAAAAGACGAATAAGTAGTAGCTTTATCCTTTTTGTATCACTACACTATTACACCAACATGTCGAGCACCTTAAGTGCTTGCAGAATTCCCTTTGAAAACGTAGTACCTTTCATATTTTATTCTATGATGGCAAATCCCATTTTACCTATATTTATATATCGTAAATTTTCCTTATCAAACAGATGGGGTCATTGTTAGCCATTCATACTCCACCAGCAGGAAGCCCAACACGAACACCTTTACAAAATATATTGGAAACTTCAAGCCTAGTACATCATAAAAATCCAGCAGTAGAAGGACCTGTGGTAAGTTATATTACAGTAATTTAGAAACACATTTTTTTCATTGAAAATATTTAATACATTCTGATAACATAGCGGTTATACAATAAATTATTGACTCTTCTCAGTATAATTAAAGAACATAGAGGTGGCTACAATGACTGGGCGTTGTTTAATGGAGTCCGAAATAAGTGATTCAGCCGTTTATTTACCTTGACCTTCCTTAATAGTTTGGAACAGTTGCTAAGCTAAAATGTTTCAAGGTTTAGTTGTTTAAGACTAGTTTGAACGAGCTTAGGCGCGTTAATTTGGCTTGGGTAATTATATTATTTTAACAGTTATTGTCTAGACTAGTCTAATCTCAAGTTTAGCCGTTTAACAAAATATTTAATTATACTATCGAATTTTATTTTAAGAAGCAAGGCTTATACTTTGTAACCATTTATATTTTCCCTACTCTTAGTTACGTCTAGCGGCTCTAAATGAACCGCATACAGGTGATATGCACGGAGTCAGCAGTAGCAATTACGAGTGTCGAAGACAAGCTCAGCGAGCCAACATGGATGGTACTTTCAGAGCATTCATATCCTCAAGGTGAATATTAAACAAAACAGTTCTTAGACGAGTCTTAAAAATAAACAGAACTATAAGATAATGATATTAGAAAAGGTTTTGGTTTTAATATTATGGCCGGCAACGCACTTGTGACTCCTGAGTTGCAGGCGTTAATGGGCGGCGGTAGTCACTTTGGCCCCGCTTTCATAAAAAAGACAAGTAGTATTAGTGTAGTGTATTCACAGAAAAACATTTCTTTTATAACAGTTTGACGTCTGAAAAATGTCAGACCATGCGTACTGTAGGCGCCGGAGTTTATTATTTCACTGAGTAATTACTTTATCCAAGAATTTTTTATTTTATGCGAAGTTTCTCAGTGGATAAATTTAGAAAGTTGAGCGACTATTAATCTTAAAGTAACAGGGTTAACTTAGCCATAAAACGTTACCCTTATAAATCATTTATAATAGTGATATTATAGTTTTTTCAAGAAGTTTCATCTTGAAATTGATTAATAAATATTATAATTCCGTTCTCACAAACGATCTAAGTACGTATTATAGAAAATGACACTAAAGCCCGACAATTTTTTCAAACCTATCCAACGGGGTTATCCCACATAATAGAATTGACGAGAAAATAAAATCATCCACATAGTAATATGTTCATTTATCAATCGATTAAATAATATTATAGGTACACTAATATAAAATAACAGTGTCTGATCAAAGCCGCGGGGTCAAATATGGCGATGTTGTTTTACCTACACATGTATAATATACAGGTGTATATCATCTAAGTAACACAATTAAGTATCATGTATGATATGATAGCTAAAGTTACGAAAACTATCAGTATCACTTAAATTTTTCGTAAATATGCTGCAAGCAGTTAAACTCTACTAAAAATGTAAACTTGGTATTGGAGTTTTTAATTTTAGAAACAAGAATAATCTACAACAAGAAAAAAACACCTCAAAAATTTTGCTGTTATGAAGAACACTTCGTTTTAATCTACAAAAATACCTAGTTCTTTGTTGAATACATTTTCATTTCGTAAATGCCCGGGAGACAGAGTGTCAAAAGGTTACGAACCCGTAAAAAAAATAAGTTTATTGTTTCTTTTTGTTTAATATACTGGCATGCCAGTAGATTCGTCTCAGTTTTTGTACAATTTAATCAAATTATAACGTGCAAAGCTATAACAGAAAAAGCTTTCAACGGCTTAACTCCAATTAATAAGTATACTCTTCTCAGGGTTCAAACAATAGACTCCATAGTAAGTTGGGTAGATAGAGAAATTCCAGTAGTGAACACCAGAGGCGACGTGCTGTTTAACTCCTGGGGCGAGATGTTTGATGGCTCAGGAGCGTTATTCGCTCATGCTCCCAGAATCTACAGCTTCAGTGGGCAGAACGTTCTTATGGATCCTTTATGGTAAGTAAGCCTGTTTTCTAATCACAATTAAACGCAAGAGTTTTACAATAATTTCAGAATTCTCTAACTTCTGCTCTAGTAAATATTGTGTTGCAGAATAGGTCAAATAATTTACTTTTACTTCATCTGTGTTTCCATATGTATTTAATAACATACCTTATAACCAAAAGTTATAACTATAATATAGGTATATCATTTGATGGTAAGTCTCAAAAGCGTTGCAAGAAAATTATCAAAAGGGGAAAACCTTTCTTCGTATGAGAAGTAACCATAAGATAACAGTCTGCAGTATGCATTATGTCAAAAGATGATTTCCTCGTTAAATAGAAAATAAGAAAAATAAAGCCTTTTCTATACAAGAGTTACGAAAATGTCGAGATTGTAATCAAAGTGTGATCAAACCTATTTTGCGCACTAAATTAGAAATGGACGGTCCAACGGCCTCTATAAAGTATACGTTTACAATTATATACATAGTGTTGGTTTTCCGACAGCCGATTTACGCACACGCTATATTATTAAGTGTCGCATATTGTTTGGAGGTACTATAGAGAATTGGATACGAAATAAAGTTGGATAGAAATGGCACACAATTTACTATGAGTAACCTTGAAATAGGTAGAAAAAATTGTCTTGTAATTTCAATAACTTCAAAATTATTAGCATAAAATGTGGAAAAGAAAGAAAGAACTTATTAAGTCATAAATAATTTTGAACTCGAAGCTCGTTAAGAGTTATTTACTGTAAAACTATATTAATAAATTTTGTTGAACGAGAATGTGGGTCATTGTTAAAAAATTAAGAATGTTCAAAGTGAGGCCTATTTATTATATGAAACTTGTATTTTTGTAAAAACTATGACTTTCATAAATAATAACACCAATAAATTGCGTGTCTAAACTAATTTTTTTTACCTAAGTATTTAATTATAACCTTCAGTCTATCGCTGAAACTACTTGTTTTGTTAATTGTGTTTAATAGTACCTTACATAGATATGAATGAATGATTTAACAAATCATTTACTTTTGTGAATATGAAAACACCTGTCGAATAACACAGTTTAGTTTAGTAAGTATATTCAGTACTTAAGCTCATTATTTATGTAGATTATAATCAACTTAGCAGCTAGAAAGACTTGTGTACTCCGGGGAGACTTAAAGGTGATTAAATGTCATTGATGATATCTTTGTGTAACAATAATCCATTTGTTTCAAGGTTTTCATTTAATCACTAAAGTATATTAATAACTGTATTGTTAACAAACAAAAAAAAGATTTGAACAGGAAATATACAACAAACTTTTACTTAGTGTTTCAATCAAAACGAGTAAAGCTATTCACCGTAAATAGCTGTTACTACGAAGTCACTTTAATTATTTTAATTGCCTTTATTAAACATAAATGATTTAAAAACCCCTGAAAGAAGTATTGATCGCAATAAAGGGACGTTACATCTATATATATTTATGATCATATTGCTTCCAATAAAACCGATATCTTCTATCGTCGTCGTCTGTTACATATTTCCTAATATAACGATATCCATTGCGTGCAGGCCAACAAAAGCCGTGTGGCACGGAGCGAACCCCAATGGAGAGATAGCGATGGACGCATACTGCGACGCATGGCACAGCAGTAATCCGGACAAGTACGGACTTGCGTCTTCGCTTCGCTCCAATAAGCTTTTAGACCAGGAAACGTAAGTGATTTTGATATTACAGTGAAAACAGAAGCCGCTTCCTGAGTAAACTTTCAGAGATAATTTTGATCGGTGTGTTTCCTGTTTGTTTTTAATATATTGAAGCGAAAACTCCTAATTGGTTGGTAACATAAATTATATATAACATTTATAAAAATAAATATAAAAAGGCCGTTTACTTCCTTCCCTGATGTTAAGGAGCATATTACTACTTAGTATTGTAATGATAGGCAGTATGAAGTAGCGGTATCTTTCCTGCTTTACGAGATTTTTCTTTAAGAAAATAAATTATATAACGAACATCGCTTTTCTTTAATGATTTTATTTTCTTTACTTATTTTTCTTTTGGTTAAGGAACACACAAAAATTGCTATTGTTAATACAATTACGACAGTTCTGTTTCTTATTTACTCGGAATGGCATATTGTGCTACTTATCTATGACAATTATTGTTATCATTGTAATATTTGATACCAAAACAACTTCAATGGTTTTAGACCAACTAATATCATTGTGAATGACCGATAGTGACTATGGGAAAAGATATTTTTAGGAAAAGATAACTTTTTACTAAACTTTCGTTCAACGTTCAGTGAGACGCATATCTATACTAATATTATAAAGCTGAAGAGTTTGTTTGTTTGTTTGTTTGTTTGTTTGTTTGAACCCGCTAATCTCAGGAACTACTGGTCCGATTTAAAAAATTCTTTCAGTGTTAGATAGCCCATTTATCGAGGAAGGCTATAGGCTATATATCATCACGCTAAGACCAATAGGAGCGGAGCACCAATGAAGAATGTTTCAAAAACGGAGAAAATTTATTACTATTGAGAGACGCAGACGAAGTTGCGCGGGTCAGCTAGTATTCATATAGGCATACTATTTATATGTAAATAACAAGATCAATAGATATAACGTATCTTTAAATAGCCTGAACTTCCAATTAAGATGCACAGCAAACAAAACTCAAGGAATGACTTATATTGATATTGGAAATCCAAATGTAATAGTTTTACTAAATCGAATAGGTAATGTGGTATACATTACCTACTCGATTTAATAAATGAATGTTTCTAGAAATTAAAACAACAATATCCTATTTCAGATACTCGTGCAGTAGTCGACTGATTGTTTTATGTGTGGAAGCAACACCAGTAGATACAGTGAGAAGAAAAAAACGATCTAAGTAAGTACATAAATAATAATAAATCTTACACATCTATACTAATATTATAAAGCTGAAGAGTTTGTTTGTTTGTTTGTTTGAACGCGCTAATCTCCGGAATTACTGGTCCGATTTGAAAAATTCTTTCAGTGTTAGATAGCCCATTTATCGAGGAAGGCTATAGGCTATATATCATCACGCTAAGACCAATAGGAGCGGAGCACCAATGAAGAATGTTTCAAAAACGGCGAAAATTTATTACTATTGAGAGACGCAGACGAAGTTGCGCGGGTCAGCTAGTAAATAATATATTAATCGTCAGATTAATATATTATTTAGGTTTTAGTACTGAACAAAACACAAGTTTAATTTTTGCAATTATTTCTGTTACACAGCTCTCAAATTTACATAAAAGAGAGAATAACTAATTTAAAATATTTTATTCTCAAGGTATCGAAACTCGGCAGAGAAGTTACAGTTTTTAAAAGATATCGAAGAAAGAAACGAAACTAGGCTAAAATTATAGACATTGTTTATTATTAAGTAAACAAATGTGAAGACTGTAAATAAATTGTATGTAGGTAAAAACTTTTACATAAAGCAATGATTCCGGTGGAACATATCGACAATATATTTCAAATAAATAATGATGCTATTTGCTTTAGAATTTTGTTTTTCTGACTAAACTGACGAAATCAACGTCAAGATTTTTATTCGAATGTACGCAATATCGTTAAAATAAAAGCTTTGTACATAATTTTGGTTCATATACATTATACGGGTAAAAAAATAACAATCCCAACGTAGATCTGTTATATTTTTAACTTACTATGGGTTATTATAATCATAATTTATGTGAGTCAATGTCTAATTTTTAAGTCACCGAATCGTGTTGTTAATAAATTGACCACCACTAAATAAATTAACTTGGCATGAATTCGTGTTCAATGAGTAAGTTTTGGGTGTTTTTCTATAGAAATGAACATATCTTTTTAATAATTACTACTTACGTCATTTTAGTTAGAAAACTCGTTAAGTTTTAAGAGTGTATCTGTAGTTTTGTCAATATCTGGCTTAACAACTCTACGTAACTTAAGTGTAAATATATTTCTAAACTTACTTGTAATAGTTTATTGTTCTGATTAAACCGCAGTAAATGATAAATAAAAATATTATTAGTTTAGTTTTTGTTAATCGATGTAAATCGGAAAATAAAATTTAAATAGGTTTTATAAAATGATTAAGTGATCGATTAATTAAAATTCTAATAGTCAGAACGCTAATTTTTCAATTAAATAAAATGTAACAAAATGTTAATATTTGTGTAAGTGTATTTAGTGTTGTATTAAATTATGTACATTTTAGGTATATGTTTTGAGGCATGTTCTTACACTATGTTGTTTAAATGGCTTGTAAATAATCCTTATAAGATCCGTCCGTCGTATAATACCGGCGCAATTTTTTATCGCTCTTTGTTGAAGAGGATTTGTGTTATTCAAAATATGAATATTTTTACATGCGCTGCAGCCTGCAACTTTTAACAATCTTTTATTGCTTTTGTTTTGTACTCCATCAAGGGAGCTGTAATGACTTGTTTAGCAAAACTTGTCTTTGACGACATGTTTATCTCTATTCTCATAAAGAAAAGCTAAAACTGTATCATTATTGAGTTTAAAGACAACACCATAAAGAATTCTTTACTTGGAAGAGGTATGTAACAATTAATAAATAAAAATCTGCATTGATCTTTTGTTATAAATTTATCAGAAAATGTATAAGCATACGTAAGGAATTCGAAGTATACATAATTTTTTTTTTTTTTCTTTGTTCAGCATAACTTGTAAATGTTTTCATTTAATATTGATATGTAACTATGTAAATACCCGAAGTAATTTTTTTGCCTGACGCTATTAATAGTAGGGGAGCCCTAGAAAGGATTCCGGGATTTACTCGAGCGTGTCAGATTAACATAGGAGGAATACCTTACACGCAGTTGAGTACCTCCACCATACATGAGCCGTACATAGCGGGGGAAGGGGGGGATATCATCGTGGGCAGCCCATCAGATTAATTAAAAAAATTCGGTGGCCAAAAAGACTTTCGCGTAGCATAAAGCAGTGGGAGGTCACAAAGTTCCAAAGAAAAAACAACATGACCTTGACATTTTTTTTTTGAATTAAATATTGATGTAATAATAATAATTATTAGTATTTTTTTATTTTAATATAATTCCTATGTCAAAGTATGACCTAGAGTAAGTATAAGTTAGTTTGATTTCATAATGTATGGCCTAGAGGAACTGGTGTAAGAACAGGCTAATTGTAATAGGACTTAAAATAAATGTCAAATTCATTGTTTAAATAATAAAAATGTATTTTACTTTTTTTTTCATAGACGCATCAACTATCAGTGTCAAGTGGAATGTGACTAATAGTTTTAAGAAACTTGTAATTTTTCATTGTTCAAAAAAACGATTATAGATAAAATTTTATTGTACTTAATAAGTACAGATTGTTTTGAAAATAAAAGGTTTTTATAATACTTCTTGCATTTTATTTAATTTGATTAACCACTAGCCTCATAGTAACGCAAATGTGAATATCTTATCAATTGTTTTAATATATTGTCCTACATGTTAGTTGGTGACTTGAATAGAGTATTCACTGACGCTGAATTTATTCGTTTTAAAAGTAAAAAAAGTGTCATGATACTCATGTCAATATATTTTTCAAAGTACAAAATTTTTGTACTTTGAAAAATATATTAAGATGAGTATCATGACACTTTTTTTTTAACGTTAGTAACGACGTTAAGGTTAGTAATAATTAGTAAATTTCTTTACGTGCCACATGAAAAAGTCTGTAAAGAATTTTCACAAAAAACTATTATTTCATATCAGTAACTTAGATACATTTAAAAAGTCGAAGTTGTATATAAAATAATATACATAATAAATAAATTATCTTTCGTAAGCCTTATCAGTAAAAGCTTTCAACTGTTTATTTTTTTCTGTTTCCCCTTATAAAAGGAACAATAAAATTTAAATTTTTTTTTCACTGTGAAACTGAAAAGAAAAAATGCTGCTTTAAGATTTATTTCCATTTTGAGTTCTTATATAAGGCTTTTCAATAATATTCCATGAAGTATATATAGCTACTACAACAACAACAACACACAGTAAACGCTAATGTATTGTTAATTGTAAATCGATGACAAAGTTCTGGATTTCGGAATATAGAATTCTACCCCAGCTCTACCTTACAGAAGATCTAGGTTAAACATTGAATAAGAAAGTAGAACTGGCGAATTGAGCCAATGGTACGGGCTTATCAGAATGTGCGACTAACTGAAGTGATCACTAAGGTATTTTTTTACAACTCCCGCACAAGGAATACATCCTGTGTCGCGGGTTACTTTACAGACATTAATGAAACGTACACAAAAAACACTCGAACTGAGTTTGTGTCCCTTGCCTAAATATTATTCACAGTATCAATATTTATGTTACTTCCAGAAAATGGTCTTATTTTAAATGTTACCAATATTTTTCAAATGTATTATATAATTGTATAGTTTTCTGCAGCAAAAGCCGATTTCCTTATAGCGAAAGTGCAACATGCATCATGCATCAATGCATTAGTCATCAGTGCAATTGATAAATTAGTGACAAGTTCGAACCACGGCCAGGGTTCAGATTCAGTAACGCCTCGTTTTCAGAACTTTCATTAATTTCATTTCAATTCGAAACGTTTGATTTTGGGATTCACTATAATCTGTCAAATGAAAACGAACGATTGTCAAATGAGACGCTTTTTGAACGTTTTCAAATCGACACCAAGATCACTCAAGGTTTTTTGGTTCTGTTACTATCAAACAAATGTTAATTTATAAGTTATGATACTCTTTATCGAACTGTAAAAAATCAAGCAGAACAGTCTATAGTAAACATTCAGAACGTTAGTTAGTATTATTTTTTCTACCCAAATACAACCAAACTGTGTTTGCTCTTGTCTCTAGGGAATACAAATTTTTTTTTGTCGTCGGTTTGTTTTCAAGAACGCACTCACGGTTTAAAATCACACGTTTTGAAAACGCAAAATACTAAATCGGGGCCCAGTACCCAAACGACTCGAACCAACACAAACATTTAACTTGGTTGGTTAAACAAGAATACTAGTATCCCATGCCGATTTCGGCTACGGTGAGTGTTTCTGATAGTGTATAGGGGTTTAAGTTTCAAGCGTGTGCTCTAATGTGGCTTAGGTGCGTGCCCTCTATAAGGTAATTGTAATAATAGAACAAAAGTAATGTGTTATCAGACTTTCAATAACAGTATTTGTCCTAGTGAAATAATGATTAGTAATGTCCTAATAGATTGATTTAGTGAAATTCTTAATAAAGGTGACTGAGTTTCGCTATTAAAACATCAGGAGTTAAAAATAACATACGAGTTTGTCATCTTCTAGCCATAAACGCACGCTCACACAAACACACTATACACAGAGACACACACACTCATATACATACACACACACAACACACAATCACCTACACACGCAGCATAAAACATGCACATATTACACTTACATCCACATATATATATCTGCTTACACACACCCATGCACCGATATCTTTAGTCATATTACAGGTTAGAGAATATACATTCATTCATTTATTCATCTCACATGTATAATCACTTTGTACAAAATTATCTCACTTGCTGCACCTATTGGTCTAGAGCTAGGAGAGGCTGGTCATCTGTAATACAGGTTTTTACCTAGTACGGATACCAGTCTCTCACACAGATTAGCATTTTCTTGTAATGTAAATTAATCTATAACTTTGTTACTAGTTTATTGATGTAATTTTTTTGTGTGAGAGAAGAAAAAAATGTATTATTATTATAAAGAGGTCAGGGTACTAATAATTTATTTTCTAGTTTCCCGGTTACTGGTACCCGAGACAGCGTGTGGTTTTTAGTCGGTTCGCGTTCGACATCACAGTTATTTCTAACGGCCGGTGGGGTTGTCCCCCCCACCTTCCGGTAGGGGTACCCGAAGGACTTTCCGTAAAAAATAAACATAAAAAACTAAATTCATAAATACCTAAATACAAAATTTAATCTATTTGTTAGTACAAATGCTTGTTTATAACGGGTATCCTGAGAATTATTTATAAAACTTGATACTGATGTTATTCAATCTACAACTCAAGTTTTACCAATAATTTAGACAAAACTGTTGAATTTTCTAAAAGTAATTCGAGAACGATCAAAGAATATACGTAAGCTAACAAGACTTCAACGTCTACTTCATGTAAAGCTTAAACAAAGGTGAGTATTTGAATTCTTCTTTCAACGTGAGCAACACAATATGCACTGGGTATTGTTTTATCAAGCAACAAGTAACGTGGTTTCTAAATAGTGGCCATTTACTGGTTTTTTAAAACCATATTCCAACTCGTCAGTATTTCTACAATAATATTTTTTCTCCAATGGAGCACATAATTATAACGAACATCCCATTA